TGCTCTATGCTCCTACATGAAACAAGTTGACCTCATTTACTAAAACTTCAAAATTAATTAGGAAATTAGATTGTTGTTAGGTGGTGTGGAGTCGATTCTGACTCATAGTGACCCCATATGAAAGGATAAAAATGACCTTATAGGATTCCCTAGGCTGAAATATGTATGGGAGCATCTCACCAGTGCAAGCATTACTTCTGTGCTAGGTGCTAGGGTGACCGCAAGGTTAGCAGTTCTAACACATCAGCTGCTCCATGGGAAAAAGCTGAGGCTGTCCGCACCTGTGGAAACCCAAAAGGAAAATTCACAGTCACTGTGAATCAGAATCAACCCAATAGCAGTGGAAGGGTGGGGACCACAGTGAGCAGGATGGACACGTGACCCCTATTCTGACGGTGTTCAAAGTCCATCAGTCAGAAAATTATTAACATACTTGAACCGGTAATTGAATCTCAAGTATGATGAGAGCAACAGAGGAAAAGCGTAGCGTATGATGGGCTCCTTGACAGGAAGGCTCCCTAAGGCAGTGGCTTTTAAGCCGTGATCGTTAGTTATCTACTAATGATAGGGAAGAGAGCATAAATTATTTTTTAAAATAGTGGCTAGCCTAAAACCATGTCTTATTTTTAGACTACAATCTCAGTATATACACAGTTCATTAAAACTTCAGCTAGTTCCACCGTGTACCTTCCCTTAAAAAAAAAAATCTCCCCCAGATAAACCAAGCCATCTGCAGTAACCCAGAATTACCCAGGGGGAAGGAAAATATTGTAACATTCTTAGCAATTCGAGTGTTGTTTAGTATTATTATAAGCTCTGGGCTAAAATAAAGAAAATTCCAAAACGATTGTGACTGGGCAGCTGAAGTACCTTCTCAGGTTGCACCTGGCACCTAAGCAGTTCAGAGGGGGGTATGAGATTCAGAGAAAGTGACCTTGTACTACAGTAAACGACCATAGTGTAGGTAACGTTTGACACAGCACAATCCATCTTTATGTATTGTTCCTTACAGTTAGTTATACTATCTAGCTAAAACCACATACATTACACTTTTAACTTCATAAACTAGGCTTTGTTAAGTTTTCTGGCCGATGCTGCTACAGCTAGTTTATTTAAAAACAAAAAAACACCTCACCTGGAAAATGACAATAAAAATGTAGGAACCATTTTTAACTGTTTAACACACAAAAAATAGGTGGTTGTGCTCGCTTCAGCAGCACATATACTAAAAAATAGGTGGTTACTATTGGAAAGTAGTGATGTTAGCAGAGTTCAAATGTTGATAAGTCCTTATCAGAACAAAGTGCAACAAGCACACATTTTTGCCTAAATTTCTTGGCTTTACTTTCAGGCCCTCTCTGTTTTGAACTGCCCTCTCCAG